CAGGCAGGACAGGGGCTCTCTCCTGCCAGCAGCAGGGTGGACGGAATTGCCCGCGGTGGGACATTGAAGCAGGGCTCCAAATAAAATCCTCAAGGTTACTAATTATTGCTGGAATCCCGTCCAGCTGGTTGCTGAGCAATGCCAGGCTCCAGCCACTGTCCTATTTCCAGGCGGCTGCATGAGCGGCAGCGAAAGCAGAGTTATTTCCAGCCAGCATCAGCGTAGGGGGTGTAGGGGGGTCCCCCCACAAGGGCAGGCCCTAGGGTTCCAGCAGGATGACCTGACCAGAACTTTTCCCTGCCTCTTCTCATTGCTTTAAGCGTTCCCACAGGTGCAGGCACCAGCACCCAGCTCCCATCTAGATCCCCCTCCACGGGGCAGTGGGAGCTCAGCATCTCCAGGGGAGCTGAGAAAAAGGGACTCAGATACTGGGGCACCAAATGCCAGCTCTGCTGAACACTCAAGATGACACTCAAGCATCCAAAATGTGCTTTAAAACGGCCAGGTTTGGTGATAACCAGGGTGGGGTGTTCAGAGGGGCTGGGGAGCTGCCCGGGAGGTGTCGGCACAGGGGTGCAGGGGTGCTGGCGCCATTCCCCTTCCCGGTGCTCCTGGAGCAGCCGGGAGAGTTGGGGAACACAGGTTCCAGGCTTCAATTTGAATGGCTTAAAGATTTCTGCGGCTTCATCAGCCCCTTCATGTTAATGAAATAATTTTATTTTTTTTTTGTGGGCGAAGGCTAGCTTGCATTTGCATGCGTAATTCGCTGCACAATTACCCTTGATGGGGGCATGCAAATGGGCTAAGTCGGTGCTCCATTGGGCACTTGAACCTCTTTGCTGCCAGCCACCCCTTGTGTGAGCCGGGCCGGCGCGCGGCTCCCAGCGGCACACCTTCTTCCTGGGAAGGGGAAAGGACAAACATCCCTGGCGTGCAAACACATCCCAATTTGGGCAGCCGGGGCCCCTCCAGGCGCTGGGCGGCCACCGGGCCCCTTCGGTTGGGTTTGGTGATGATGGAGCCACCCGGCCCATCCTGCTTGCTCAGCGCGGAGATAAAACGCTTCGCGTAAAGCCTGACCCCGTACTATTTCTGAAGGAGTCAGGTGGGTTGTATTTTTAAGCCTGGGGTAAGGATGGGCTTTGAGATTTCTTCTTGAACCGTGAGTCACGGTTCCGCGCAGGGTATAATCACGGAGCTGAGAGGTTTGTAACGGGAAAGCGAGGAGGAGGAGGAGGATCGCAGCGTGGCTGAGCCCCCCGTGACCGCCCATTGGCACCACAAAAATAGCAAGAAATATTGAAAAAATAATAATAGAAGAGATTAGGGGCTCAAAGTGACTTCTTAAATGTAGAGCTGAGGTGTGCTGCTCTGCTCCCCACATCGTCGCAAAATCGTGCTCTCGGCTGGGGGGCGGGGCGGAGAAACAAGCGGGGGGACAAGGCTGCCTCACTGCCAGGCTGGGGGTACCCAGTGCCAAGACCCACGTCCTGCAGCTCCCGTGTTCTTCTTGGGAGGATGGAAGAAGCACTTGTGGAACGAAGCAGGAGCCTGGCAGAGGCTCCACTGCACATCGCAGCTCTTGGGATAACTCCTAAATCTCTCCCCACTTCGGGAAACCTCCAGAGCTTGTTTTTTTCCTGCGTGCAAGCAAAGGATAGCATCTTCCTCCCAGCGCCTTTCAACCTATTTTGGGATTCAGGGCACTTGATGTGGTTGAATATCCTGACATTTCCTTTTAATTTAGTGTCCAAAATGATCGTGGGGACCATTGGGAGCAGCCAGGACCGGTAATTACGACTGATGCGCAGTTTATAGAAACGGAGAAAGTTTGCAGTGAGAAAGTGCGGCTGAAAATAACCTGAGGAGCAGGATGAAGGGTGGGCGGCCCCATCGCCCCAACTCTGGGAAGAGAGAGCGGGAGAGACTCAGCCTGGGCATCCCCTGCCAGGCCTTGCATGGCCCCGCTGCCGATTATAGATGTATATAATAATTTTTTAACCATTTTTTCGCGGCTGGTGGGAGCACACGGCATAGTCGTGGCGTGCGGTGTTGGGGAAAGACTCAGTGGCTCTTGGGGGCGAGATGGTAAATGCCAAAGGAGGGGGCAAAGAGAGCAAAAAGAGCGCTTGGGTTGGGTTTTTTTAGTTGTGTCTCATCCGCAATCCGGATAATCCGCCCACAGATAATTGAGGGTTGGCGGTGACGCTGAGTCAAGCCGCCTCGAATCAATAGCAGGTTCCCAGACCTGGGGAGAGGGGGGGGCATCAAGGATGCTTCACCCTCCACGGGGGAGTTCCTTCTGCTCTACAAAATAAGGGAGAGAGCAGAGAGGTTCCTCCCAGGATCTCACCCCAAATCCCAGGCAGCTCGTTGTCAAGCCCAGCTGGTTTGGTTTATTGAGGAGCACAGCTGGTTGCGGTCTCCTTAAGTATTTCTCATCCCTGAGCTTCCCCTCCCCAGCTCACTCCTCCCGCTTTGCCTTCGGCCTCAGTCTCCTCCATTGCGTCCATGGCACACAGGTGGGAAGATTTCATATCAAACTGCTGCTTTTGCAAAGATTTTCACCCTTCTCCAGGGTCAAAAAACACTCCCCTGGGCTTCTTTTTTGCTGCGAGCTCCTTGGCTCTGCCACTAAACTCTGGGGTGTCCCCTGGACTGATGCAAGATGTCCCACTTTGGGGTTATCAGTGAGGGGGGGCAAAAAAAAAATAAAGGAGATGGTTGCTGTGGTTGTGTTTTAGGGGGATTTAAGGATTTTGCAAGAGCCAGGAGGAATCAGCGGCTTCGAGAGCAGCTTTAACATCCCAGGAGCGTGGCGCTATCAGCGCTGGGTTGGTGAAGAAATGAGAAAGTAGAGAAAAGCAGGGGAAAAAGGTGCAGCGGGTTTGGGGGGCTGGTGTGAGCCTGAGCCAGCTCCCCC